TCCTCTTCTTCTTCTTCCTCTTCTTCTTCTTCCTCTTCTTCTTCTTTCTCTTCTTCTTCTTCTTCTTCCTCTTCTTCTTCTTCCTCTTCTTCTTCCTCTTCCTCTTCTTCTTCTTCTTTTATTTTTTTGACAGAGTCTCACTCTGTTGCCCAGGCTGGCACAATCTTGGCTCACTGCAACCTCTGCCTCCCAGGTTCAAGTGATCCTCCTGCCTCAGAACCCCAGTAGCTGGGATTACAGGCACGTGCCGCCATGCCTGGCTAATTTTTGTATTTTTAGTTTAGTTGTATCTAGGGTTTCACCATGTTGGCCAGGCTGGTCTCGAACTCCTGACCTCAGGTGATCCACTCGCTTCTGCCTCCCAAAGTGCTGGGATTACAGGTATGAGCCACTGCACCCGGCCTCTTCTTCTTATTTTATATTGAGTTGAATATTTGACTCTAACACTTTCCTACATATACTTATCTTTAGAGACAGGATCTTGCTGTGTCACCCAGGCTGGAGTGCAGTGGTGCAATCATGGCTTACTGCGGTCTCAAGCTCCTAGGCCCAGGGGATCCCATCTCAACCTCCTAAGTAGCTGGGACTACAGGCGTGAGCCACCATGCCCATCTAACTAAAAAAAAAAATTTTGGGCCGGATGTGGTGGCTCACGACTGTAATCCCAGCACTTTCGGAGGCTGAGGCGGGTGGATCACCTGTGGTCAGGAGTTCAAGACCAGCCTGACCAACATGGAGAAACCCCATCTCTACTAAAAATACAAAAATTAGCCGGGCATGGTGGTACATGCCTGTAATCCCAGCAACTCATGAGGCTGAGGCAGGAGAATCACTTGAACCCGGGAGGCGGAGGTTGCAGTGAGCCGAGATCTCTCCATTGCACTCCAGCCTGGGCAACAAGAGCAAAACTCTGTCTCAAAAGAAAAAAAAAAAATTTGTGTAGAGGTGGGGTCTTGCTATGTTGCCCAGGCTGGTCTCAAATTGCTGATCTCAAGTGATCCTCCCACTTTGGCCTCCCAAAGCACTGAGATTACAGGAGTGAGCCACCATACCCAGTCACTTTTCTACACATAAAACAGAAATATCATGAAGGTGCTTCATAATTGTATTACAGAGGAATTTACTCTCATAAGTACCTTTTAAAGATTTGACATTCGGCTGGGCATCGTGGCTCACGCCTATAATCCCAGCACATTGGGAGGCTGAGGTGGGCGGATCACCTGAGGTCAGGAGTTCGAGACCATCCTGGACAACATGGTGAAACCCCGTCTCTACTAAAAAAACAAAAATTAGCCATGCACGGTGGCGCACGCCTGTAATCCCAGCTACTCGGGAGGCTGAGGCAAGAGAATCACTTGAACCCAGGAGGCGGAGGTTGCAGTGAGCCAAGATCACATCTCAAAAACAAACAAACAAAAAAGATTTGACATTCAACTATAGCATCTACATGTTGGTTAGTTTTCTTACAAGCCCCATCATGAAAATAATTAAAGATGAATTTGAGAAAAATGAAAAAAACTTAGATGATCAGGTTCTGTTAAATTGTTACAGATATATCTTGCTTAAATTTCTGTTTATTAATTTGTAACCACCCAATTACATTAAGCACATTTGAAGGAAAAAGTTTTATCTCATGCAATATGTCAAAAGTATGATTGCCTCGATGTGTAATCAATTGTGATGGTGAATATTAGGTGTCGACTTGATTGGATTGAAGGGTGCCTAGAAAGCTGGTATTGTTTCCGGGTGTGTCTGTGAGGGTGCTGTCAGAGGAGATGAGCATTTGAGTCGGTGGACTGGGAGACAGGGACCCAGCCTCAGTGTGGGTGGGCACCCTCCAGTTGGCTGCCAGTGTGACTAGAACAAAGCAGGCGGAAGAAGGTGGGAGAAGCTGGCTTGCTGGGTCCTCTGGCTTTCATCTTTCTCCCGTGCTGGATGTTTCCTGCCCTTGAACATCACATTCCAGGTTTTTTGGCCTTTGAACTCTTAGATTTACACCAGAGGCTCGCCAGGGACTCTAGGGCCTTTGGCTACAGACGAAGGCTGCACCGTGGGCTTCCCTACTTTTTTTCTTTTTTTTGAGATGGAGTTTTGCTCTTGTTGCCCAGCTTGGAGTGCAATGGCGCAATCTTGGTTCACTGCAATCTCCGTCTCCCGGGTTCAAGTGATTCTCCTGCCTCAGCCTCCCAAGTAGCTGGGATTACAGGCATGAGCCACTGCGCCCGGCTGGGCTTCCCTACTTTCCAGGCTTTCAGACTCGGACTGAGGCACTATTGGTTTGTTTCTTCCTCAGCTTGCAGACGGCCTATTGTAGGGCTCCACCTTGTGATCATGAAACTCCCTTTCATCTAGACGTAGGTCCTATTGGTTCTGTCCCTCTGGAGAAACCTGCCTAGTACATCAATATACCAATCATGAATAAGGTCTTCTACATGCGTTTTCCATATGCGGTCATTAACATCTGAGGTGTATTTTATCCTCACAGCACACCTCATCTTGGGGCAGGCACATCTCAAGTACTCAAATGCCACATGTGGCCGGCAACCACAGTACTGGACAGCGTAGGTCTCCGAAGTCATCTTTGATGGAAGTTTAACAAATGCTGCTGTTTTTCTTACCATTACTCTTGCTATTCTCATCATCACCAGATACGCACTGTTGTTCATCCTGAACACCAGCTATGGACCAGGCATGGTGCAGAGGCTCTGCAGATCTCCTGTGAGCCAGATGATACGATTCCCATTTTCAGGATGAGAAAACTGAGGCTCAGAGGTTAAGCCTATCACTTGGGGTCATGCAGCAGAGATTTGGCAGAAAAGGACTCCCAAGACCTTGATAGTTCCACCTTTATCATATTGTCTTGGGATCTTTATTTCAGCAGAAATCCTAAGACCAGAAAGCCTGGGTATTCCAAGGCCCAGGGTCTCAAAAGATGGTGACAAGTGGGTTTTGGCTCATGGCATGGGGAGGAGGATGGACGTTCCTAATTCATATTATAGAATGTAAACTGATAGATGGGTGTGAATATAAGTATATATATTACACATAAATATAATAGATGATATGTTTTACCATGATTATTTTATATATACTACTATGTATTGATATATATCATGTAATAGTTACATATTATGTACATGTATATTGTATGTGTATATATTTTTAAAGAAAATAGCTGGGCAGGGTGGCTTGTGCCTGTAATCCTAGCCTTGGGTGGTAGGAGAATTGCTTGAGGCCAGGAGTTCAAGACCAGCCTGGGCAACATAGCAAGACCCTGTCTCTAAAACAATTTAGAAAACCAGCCTGGCGTGGTGGTGTGTGCCTGCGGTGCCAGCTACTTGGGAGGGTGAGGTGGGAGGATCGCTTGAGCCCAGGAGGTTGAGGCTGCAGTGAGCTATGATCACACCACTGCACTCCAGCCTGGGCGATAGGGTGAGACCCAGTCTCCAAAGGAGGGCAGGGCAGGGCAGGGCAGAGAAGGAGAGGGGAGGGGAGGAGAGGAAAGAAGAGGAAGAAAATGTTTATAAACCCCACAGTAAATGGCAGGCACTGTGCTAAACACTTCACATGTATTAACAAGTATTAATTTAAACCACAGAACAACTCCTGGGGGAGCCATTGTTAGCCCAGTTTTACAGCTGAGGAAACCAAGAGGCACAGAAGTTACGTACATTGGATCAGGCCACACAGCTGGTAAGTGGCAGACTCAGAATATGAAGGCAGGGATAACGGATCCTAGTGGTCACGGTGAAGGTGCAATGTATGCTAAGGACGAATATACTGGCGTATGTTCTCACTCAGCAAACATTTATCGAGGGCCACTATCTGCCCAGGAAGCCCAGATGAGCAGGAAGACACGCCCTCGGGGCTGGAGACATGCACGCCTGGGGAAGGAGGTGCACAGGTGAGGAGGTAGACTGTCGCAGGTCAAACTGGTATGAATGGGCAGGCAAGGCGCAGAAGTGGGGAGCGTCATCTGCCAGGAAGAGGGGCCCGGGAAGGTCTGGGATGGCTTTGGATCAAAAGCTAGTTGGATGTGGCCGACTGCGGGTGCTTCGGGAGCAATGGGTGAGTTGATTTGGCTCTCAGGACTTCCCAGCCAGCACCTCCCCACCGCCCACTTTCCACTTTCCGCGTCCTCAGTTCCTCCTCAAAGTCAGTTTCACTGCAGCCCACCTCCCACCCAGGACCGGCCCCAAGGCCCTTCTCGATTACCTGGAAAGGATCTCCGGCACTGAAGTCGAAGGAGAGGATGAGGTGAACCTCCCGTGTCGGGGGCAGCACAAGTGGGAAGGGAGTGTTGATGGCTAAACCAGCATCCACCAGGTGGAGGTGCCTCCGGCTACTCATTGTCTTGTCCCGGATGCCACCTGCGGTGCCCAGGAAGAAAGAGGATCAGCTGCTTCCAGGGACTGAAAGCAAGACTTGTAAATGGAAGGCAGGGAGGGGGATGGGAAGATGATTATTGTCAGTGTAGACAGCAGTCGTGAGGTTGCCCACTAGGAGCTGACTTCTGTCTCTTCCCAGATTCATATGTTGAAGCCCTGATTCATATGTTGAGGCGTGGTGCCTCACGCCTATAATCCCAGCACTTTGGGAGGCTGAGGCGGGCGGATCACTTGAGGTCAGGAGTTCAAGATCAGCCTGGCCAACACGGTGAAACCCTGTCTCTACTAAAAATACCAAGATTAGCTGGGCGTGGCGGCGTGTGCCTGTAATCCCAGCTACTCGGGAGGCTGAGGCAGAAGGATCACTTGAACCCATGAGGCGGAGGTTGTACGGAGCTGAGATCACGCCACTGCACTCCAGCCTGGGTGACAGAGCGAGACTCCATCTCCAAATAAATAATTCAAACACATGTTAAAGCCCTTACACCCAGTACCTTAGAATGTGACTGTATTTGGAGACAGGGTCTTTAAAGAAGTAATTCATGGGGTTTTTGGCGTGAAGTTCCAAACAAAGCTGCCTTCTCAGCAGCAATATGTGAGAATGTTGTTAACCCAGTATTTCTGAGACAGGTCTCGGTCAGTGTAGAAAGTTTATTTTGCCAAGGTTAAGGACGCAAGCCCGTGACGCAGTCTCAGGAGGTCATGATGACATGTGCCCAAGGCGGTTGGGGCACAGCTTGGTTTAGACATTTTAGGGAGACCTGAGACGTCAATATATGCAAGATGAACACTGGTTCGGTCTGGAAAGGTGGGACAACTCAAAGCAGTGGGGGGGCTTCCAGGTCACAGGTAGATAGGAAGTAAATGGTTGCATT